TCAATCTGTCTCTTTTTTTTTTTTTGCTGGGAAAGATTCAGGCTGAGCTAACATCCGTTGCCAATCTTTCTCTCTCTCTTTTTTTTTTTCTCCTCATAGCCCCAGTACACAGTTGTATATTCTAGTTTTAGGTCCTTCTAGTTTTTCTATGCGAGCTGCTGCCACAGCATGGCTACTGACAGGAACCAAACCCAGGCCGCTGAAGCAGAGCACGTCGAACTTTAACCACTAGGCTATCAGGGCTGGCTCAATCTGTCTTATTATGGTGGGGCAGGGTGGGGAGGCAGGGGGTGGAGGTAGGGTTTCAGGCAAGAATCTAGAAGGGTAAAGGGAAATTATTTTTCCTCCCCTACAGGAGCAATGAGGGAAAGCTGACAATGTAGATATTTTGATATGTTTTGGAGAATAACAAGTTAATTAGGAGCCAGATTAAGGAGATCAAGTTTAAAGAAAATGAAAGTCTGGGCAAAATTGTTGGAGATTAGATGATATTTTGGGAATTGTGAGGATAATATTCTGGACTCACCTTGAGGATAATCTGCACATGGTTATATGTTCTTCCCACCTTGGAAAGAAGCTTCTCACCCCCGCCGGTCATGTCTTACATTTGTAAAGTGGTTTCCATTTATTGAGCACTTGCTATGCAGATAGTAATGTTTCTTAGGCGTGCAGGGTTCCAATCAATGAGCAAGTTTATTACCACCATCTGGTACCTCCCCTTGGTTACACAGAGATTGGATGAAGGGAAATACAATTGACAACACTAGGACACATGTTTTGCTAGTCGGCCTAGAGCATTCCAGCCCAGAGAAATCTGGACCTCAATAGTCTCCATCTGCAAGAAAAATATTCAGTGGCCATTCCTTAGTGGGCAGTTCTGAGTTCCCTTTGCTGGAGGCCAGGGAAGTGCATTTATGCCTGGTAAGTTAGAATGTCAGGCTTCGGGGTGCACCGGGGCTAGTTGTGTATTTTGGTACATAATGAGTTGCAACAATTACCTCTTCTCTTCCCTGGAGATGACTGTAATTCTCATGGATGGCTCAAAGCATAATGCCTCCACCAGCATCTCTACATTATTTATTTTCTCCTATACTGGATTTTAAGCACTACATGCTCCTTTTTAAAATTTTTGTGTGGCATATGGCTAAAACAGGGAGGAGAGTCTAGGGCTCTTGGGTAAGAGTGGAGATGGGAAGAGAGTAATGTGTCATCCGTGGTTTTGATGGTGGGGATTCTGCTTCCAATGATGAACAAAATTTTTCCATTTCCACAGCTCTTAGATATAGTAAATCATTTAGTTTTCATAAAACTTGGTGGCTGTATTTTCTCCATGGTTTCAACTAAAGAAACCAATTCTCAGAGAAGTAATGTTAACTTGGTCAAGAGCACATAATCTGATCAAGGAAGAGCTAGGCTTCAAACCACAACCCAACGACACCAAAGGTCCTGTTCCTTACCCCTGTATACTTCTGCCAGTCCAAAATACAGTACCCATTACCCACCCCACTCCCAGCTGGGGGTCGTAACAGGGAGGGGGTGTTACTAAGGTCTGCTGCTCTGATAATTATTCCTAAGTAGTTACTAGTCCTCTCCACCCCATTTTTTTTTTGAGAGGGGAGGAGGTCTGGTCTATCTGCCAACTTCTTTATTCCTTAGAACTGATAGATCTTGGGATTCCAGCTCAAACTTTGGTTTGGAGAAATTTGAGTCCAATGAGCATGTCATGGCCACATCGGGGTGGGTGTTTTTTCTTTCTTTTTCTTTCTCTTTTTCCCTTAGCCAAGCAGAGCTGAATGGACAGGCTCTTGGCAACCTCATTGTATCTATTATGTTCTGATCATTATTTAAACAAATGGTATTCATTGGGGTCCAAGTCAGAGGGACAGGACACAGAGAAGGCTTTTTATGAGTCAGCTGGACTGCTCTTCCCTTTTCACAAGTCTCTTGTGTTCCCTGAGGATCCTTCAAGTGTGGAGCAGCTCACAAAGGAATGAGATGGACACAACCTTTGTCTGGGAGGGGACATCCAGTCAGTCCCCTTGGCCCCTTTGTGGATGTCTTGATCCTTTTGGCTATTTTCTGTCTCTATTCCAATAAAAATAGTGCTGATGAAACACCCCACACACTGTTTAGGCCGGGGGGCCACAGAAGTGGAAAGAGTCATGTGCAGGGTTTTTACAGGGTCAAGCATAATAAACCATCAAGGAGGGACATCAGTGTAGGTGCTAGGACTTACACAAGGGAGAAGGAATAGGTGTTGAAAGATGCTGGCTCTGCAGACAGCATGCCTCGGTTCCAGTAATTATCCAAGTGATCTTGAAAAATGCCTTAACCTAGCAAGACTTAGATCCTTCATCTGTAAATGGGGACAATAATTATAGTTATTTCATAGCATTGACTAGGGGTTAAATGAAATATTGTATGCAGCATGCTTATTGGCACATTTTGAGCTTTTATTAAACTCTTGCTTTTATAATTAGAGCTGAGGATAGATTTATGGAGGGAGGGGGCCTTGGATCCTGGAAAGAAGAAAAATTATAGAATGTTTCAGGTCCAAGTCCAGGGAGTCATGGGCTTTGGAGGATAAAGTCATCTGCAATTTATCTTTTCACTCTAGGGTACAAAGTTAGTAAAAAATTTTACAAATCTGAAAGATCTTAAGTAAGCAACACGAGTTTAGCACGTTGATGCTTGAACATAATTTCCCAAACTGCATTTCCACAGAATAATAGTCCAGGAACTTTTTTTAAGGTTCCCTCCCCCAACCCTGTCAAAAAGTGCTCTTTGGTAAAAAACGTTTGAAAAACTCAGCATATTTGGAAATTCATAATAAACATTAGGATGAAGGCTCTGAGCTGGCCTATATGAAAATAGCATAATCCAGTGTTAACCAAATAAATTTGAACATGAAATGTTTGTCATTGTTTGTACTACTGCTGCTGTTTGGAGTGAGGAAGCAGAAAGGTGCACACATTGACATCCTGAAGAATAGAGTCCATGGGACTTGTGTTTGGGAGCTCTGCTCTCTGATCATTCCCAAGAATGGAGTTAGCTATAAGCTAGCTCACCCAGATGTGTGCTGTCTGTTTAAGTGTTTCATGCAGGGTGTCTAGTCCATCAAAGAATGTTCTTTGCAACAATTATGGTGACACCAGGCATTGCTCTAAAGTTGCGGCTCTAAAGGGCAGTAATTCTGAAGACTTAAGAGCTGAGAAATCTGAGCAGGTAGAACCAGGCAGGCTTATTTCAAGGGGAAATAGTTTATCATGATATTGGGACCTCACAGCAAAGTGTGACTGGCTTTTAATTAGCTGAGTTTCCAAGATGTTTTCATTATCAACTTGTTTCTAAAAAACATACAAAAATGTACTCACCCCAACTCACTACAGAGCGTATGACAGTTCAGGACATTGGGTAGGACTGAGAATGTAATGGAGTGTATGTTAGACGTTGGAAAAGAAGGTGGGGCAAGGGAGGAAGACAGAAAGAAAGAGAATGGTGAAGCTATGGTCTTTCAATTTGAGAGAATATATATATATATATGCAATATCTAGATTAAAATAGTATCCTCATAATAAAGCAGTAGCCATATTTTTAGATTCATCTAGGTATATAATTCGTTTTTTGGGGGAGTAGAAAAACCCTAAAGATAACTGATGAAAATTTCAATTTTCTTTTACGTATTTACAGCTACATAACTGTAGCCTAAAATTTCCTATGACTAAGCTTTCACGAATTACTTAGCATCTCATAGGTTGCTGGCACTGCATCATGAGAACTTCCTAATTCTGAACATTTTGCGTCTGAGCCCACCTGCTCAGTATAGTGCACCGTGTCTTTGGAAAATCTCTTTACCCTACGTATTCCTTAGTTTCTTCCTCTGTAAATTGAGAATAATAACTTTGTTTCTGGGTTTTTATGAAACAAGTAATATATAGCTGTCATTCCCAAATACCTGTCCATATACACTGTAACAAAGTTTTGTGGGTATATAGTAAAATAAGAAAAATATCATCAGTGTGACAGGTGTTAAATTTTATACAACCTAAAAAATGGAGATTTCTTTCTATTCTTTTGGTTTAAAATCTTTATTTTATTAAATAAACTTTTTGAAGTTTCTCCCTATTTTTTCCCCCTATTTTACTAGTAGGTAAAAGCTCAAAATCCCAGAACTGGTGAGCTAATGATATAGAAACATTGGGCCCAACAAAGATATGAGTCAGTGTAGCTACGAATTTTGCTTTCTGTGTGAAGTTATCCCTCCATCTAGCAGTAGAGAAAGAGAGCTCTTCAGATATAACTGTTTTTGGATCAGTGCCTCTCAAAAGCTGTATTTTTGAATGGCTGCCTTAGAGATGTCATTGGCGCCTATGGAACCAAAAAAAATGAATTGCTCACAAGGGCACAGACCTCATGGGTGCAGCCTCATCAGCACTCAACTCCTACAGACAGCAACAGCCAACAGAATTGGGAGAGAGCCATGGGGCTTTCTTATCCAAATGTGTCTGGCCACATCACAAAGCCAAATATTAATGGTCTCTAGTTAGTCATTGTTTGGCATTTTTTGTGTCTCTTCTCTTCTCTCCTCTATTCATGCTAATTGCTGCAGGTTCATTCCTTAATTCCTTTGACAGACTTTCACTGCGGTTCATTGTCTTACGTACAGCACATGCTGAGTACTTTAAAGAGTTTATTATCTCAATTAATTCACCCAACAGCTTAGGGAGGCAGGCAATATTTTCATCCTCAATTTTCACAAATGAGCAAATGAGGCTCAGATGGCTATGAGCCATGCAAGTCCACTTATCAAGAGAGTCACCTAGCTGGGGTCAGGCCTAGGTGTCTCATATTGCAAGGTCACAGCATGGACCATGGCAATACAAGTCCTTCAGTATAGGGAGGACACCCTCTGGTGGCAACATTAAAAGTGAGGGCTTTGGAAATATACAAACCTCAGTTGTCGCTGCTGATGTTTTTAGTTTGTTAGGAAAATAATTGCGCCTAACTTTTATGGTTTTTATGAATAAATTAAATATTGTGTATAAATTCCTGGAACATAGTAAGTTCTTGTAAAGTGGTGACTGACAGTAATAACGTAGCAATAGTAACTGGGCTGTGATGTGAGTTGTATAAGACTTCATAGGAGATGAGAAAATACATACACAATGTGAAGTGAAGTGGGAAGTTTGGACGGTAGGTTCAGAGTTGGGTGGAAGGCTTGAAGGATCGTAATTAGAGGTGAAAAGATAATCGGAAGTGGGTTCCAATGTGGTGAGGGGTTTCTCATTGAGTTCGTCCTGGCCTGGTGAGAACAGGCAGCCTTAGGGATAGAGAACTAGTTTGCGTCTGGCCCCCATGTTTGCAGAGCTTTGCCCTACTCCTGCTGCGGAGGGATACGACCAAGTGAGGAATGACGTTCATGCAGCTCAGCTCTTGAGAAAGGAGTTCGCTTGAATGAGAAGCTGAGCCAGGCTCCTGAGGGGAAACCCTCCACTCTGGTTGTCTGGTTTGTGTTGAGAAGTGGAGTCAGTCTCTGATTACCTTGGCTGAAAACCCTTGCTCACAATGGTCCAGGAACTGAAAGATTAGGATCCTTCTGGCAGCTGCTGGCATGGTCTGAACCACAAGGCTTGAATTTACTCCAAGGCTGGGAACCAGCTGCCTGGTGGAGTGAAAGAGGAGGGGATTTCACAAGTGCAAGAACCTGAAAGGGGGAACATTGCTGTAGAAGGAAATGAAGTCATGGCCGCTGCAGCACAGCATTTCCTCCAGACTGGGGGGCCAGAGCCGTGATTTCCGTATCTTTAGAAGCTAAAATCCACTATTATGATGAATATTCAGAAGCTGGCAAAATTTAGGGGGTGTGTCATGTTTATCTATCATTTATTTGCACACATTTTCAATGTAGACAAGGCATCTAAGGTGTTATAACTTCTCCAGAGGATGACTCATTTCTCTTGGTTTTTATCTTGTAGGTGTTGTCTGCGAGGAGTGAAGAGCAATGTGCTTAATTTTAATGAATTTTCTTGCATTTCTTGTACATTTATACATATCCCCTAAAATAAATAGCTTATAGTTAGTAGTTATTGAATGTCCACCAGCTGCATTGTTATATATAAATATGTATATTTATGGCAATGTATTTATACATACATATATATATATGTGTGGGGGAAGGGAAAATTACCCCCTTCCCTTCTTGGTTCTTATGGCCGGTCAAATAATTAAAATGACATAAGGCAGGTTAACAGGAGAAAATCAAAGTTTAATATGTGCACATGGGGAATTCACATAAGCGTGAAGAATTCCAAAGACAGACAAAATGAGGTATATATGTCATTCTGGACTTAGAAGAAGGGGACAGGGGTCTGGATCTTTGAAGTGAAAGGAGACAATTTACAGGAAGATGAGAATAGTTAATGTTTGGTGAACAAATATTTGTTGGCCCATCAAGAGACAATGAGACACAAGACTTTGATCAAATGGGCCTTGCTAGGTTCCTCCCTGTCTACCACACCTAGTTCATATTATGCTATAGTTATCTATGTTAATAGCCCCTTCCCGGAACAGGCCTTCTATCTTAAATTCTTTTAGGCAGTTAGAGGGAAAGTCCAAATTTCTTCCCGAGTCTTTTGTTCTTAAAAATAATCAGCCCAAAATAATCCTCAAGCCAAAGAGGCATATTTTGGGGTGGGAAATTCTGCTCCCCTCCACACACATACAAACATACATACCTACATACATATATTTAACTTCTTATTTTGGAAAAGTTATAGATCCACAGGAAGTTGCAAAGATAGTATAGAGAGGTTCCTGTGTATGCTTCATCCAGTTTTCTCCAATGATTACATCCTGCCGAACTATAGTATAATATCAAAACCAGGAAATTGATATTGGTAGAAGGTATGTATAATTCTATGTCATTTTGCTACGTGTGTAGGTTAGTGTAACCATTCCTTGACATAAGATACAGAACTATTCCATCACCACAAAGATTTTCCTCATGCTGCTCCTTTATAGTCACACCCATCACCTTAGCTCCACCATCCCTGACCCCTGGAAACCACGAATTGTTCTCTATCTCTATAATGTTGACATTCTGAGAATGTTATATAAATGGAATCATATAGTAGGTGACCTTTTGAGATTGTCTCTTTTTACTCAGCACAATGCCGTTGAGATCCACCCAGGTTACATGTATCAATAGTTCATTGCTTTTTTTTTTGTGTGGAAGATCAGCCCTGAGCTAACATCCGTTGTCAATCCTCCTCTTTTCGCTGAGGAAGATTGGCCCTGGGCTAACATCCGTGCCCATCTTCCTCTATTTTATACGGGATGCCGCCACAGCATGGGTTGACAACCTGTGCGTTTGTCTGTGCCCGGGATCCGAACATGCGAAACTCGGGCCGCTGAAGAGGGGCGCACGCACTTAACCTCTTGAGCCACCAGGCCAGCACCAATAGTTCATTGCTTTTTATTGCTGAGTAATATTCTATGCTACACTTTAAGCAAATTGTCCTTTTGAAAGGACATTTTGGTTATTTCAGATTTTGGAAATTACAAATAAATCTACTCTGAACAATAATGTACATGATTCATTTGGATATAAGTTTTCATTTCTCTGGGGTAAATGCCCAGAAATGTGGTTGCTGGATTGTGTGGTAAGAGCATGCATAGTTTTCTTTTAAGAAAGCACAAAACTATTTTCCAGAGTGGCTATACCACTTACAGTCCTACTAGCAATAGATGACAGATCCAATTTCTCTACATCCTTGCCAGTATTTGGTATTGTCACTATTTTTAATTTAAACTGTTATGATAGGTAGGTAGTGACATCTCATTATAGTCTTAATTTGTATTCCCACCAGCTGCATTGCCATATTGAAATAGCCTTATTGAGATATAATTCACATACTATATAATTCACACTTTAAAGTGTACAGTTCAATGGCTCTTAGTTTATTCACAGAGTACTGCTTCCATCACCACAACAATTTTAGAATGGTTTTATTACCCACCAAAGAAACTCCTTACCCCTTAGCCATTACCCTCCAACCTTCCCCCCAACCCTAACCCTAGGCAACCACTAATCTATTTACTTTCTCTATAAATTCACCTATTCTGGTATTCTTATATAAATGGAATCATACAATATGTGGTCCTTTGTGACTGGCTTCTTTCACTTGGCGTAATGTTTTCAGGGTTCATCCATGTTGTAGCATGTATCATTGTTTCATTATTGCCAAATAATACTCCAATATGGTTATACCATGTTTTATTTATCCATTTATTTATCCATTGATGTATATTTGAGTTGTTCCACTTTTTGGCTATTATGAATAATGCTGCTGTGAATATTCGTATGCAAGTTTTTGTGTTTTTATGTTATCAATTACCTTGGGTGTATACCAAGGGGTAGAATTGCTAGGTCATATGATAACTGGATATTTAACCATGTGAGGAACTGCAGACTGTTTTCCAAAATGGCTGCACCACTTTACATTCCCACCAGCAGTATATAAGTGTTCCAATTCCTCCATATCCTTGCCAACAGTTATTATCTTTCTTTTTGATTAGAGTCATCCTACTGGGTGCGAAGTGGTATCTCATTGTGATTTGTATTTCCCTGATTTCTAATGATGGTGAGTATCTTTTCATGTCCTTATTGGTCATCTGTAGATCTTATTTAGTGAACTATTTAGATCCTTTGCCCACTTTTTAATTGGGTTATTTGGTTTTCATTATTGAGTTTGAAGATTTCTTTATTTATTTTAGATACATGTCCCTTATCAGATATGTGATTTTCCAAATTTTCTCTTATTCTGTGGGTTGTCTTTTCACTTTGTTGAGTGTCTTTTGAAGCACAAAATTTTTAATTCTGAGCATGTCCTGTTTAACCATTTTCCCTTTGTTTTTTGTGCTTTTGGTGTCATCTAAGAAACTGTTGACTAATCCAAAAGCATGAAGATTTATACCCTTCTTCTAAGAGTTTTATAGTTTCAGCTCTTACATTTAGGTCTATGATATGTTATGAGTTAATTTTCGTGTATGGTGTGAGGGAGGAGTCCAAATTCATTCTTTTATATGTAAATATCCAGTTGTCCCAGCACCATTTGTTAAAGAGATGATTTCCCCTCCATTTAATTGTCTTGGCACACTTATCAAAAATCAATTGACTGTATGCCATATTTTTTAGAATTGTTTTTTTCTATCCCAAATCTCCAGTTCCTGAGAACTAAGCAATTTAAGCTTCCAAAGGATTAACTAGTGCTTTGTCTTAAGCTTCAGGAGCAAGGACTTCTAAAGCTGTGAAGAGTCACTTGTCCTTATCTTAAATGAGATCCAGACACTTTAGAGAGCAACTTTGGATAGGGACAAGAGGAAATAGCACTCAATGGCTTTGGGGAACTGGAGGGCAGACGGGGAATAGGAGAAAGAGGCAGAGAATACATGACAATCCCAAAGGTCAGCTTTCCTTCTTTTCCCAAGACTTTAATTAGTCTTGGGTTTTGTTTGTTTGTTTGGCCTGCCTCTTTTCTCCAGAGAGTATAATATAGCCTTATTCTGGTGAAAAATGCAGGATTTTGCATCAGACAAACATGGGCACAAATCCCAGATCCTTTGTTACTTCCCATCTTTTTGATCTCCTCAAACCTCAGTTTCTTTTGCAAAATTGAGATAATAATCATGTCTACCTCAATGCATTAAATATTAGATAATACAAATAAATACTTAGCATAGTGCCCTGACATATTAAAAATACTATCTATTATTATTATTATTTTCCCTATCCAAAATAAAAACTTATCTGTTTGTGTTCCATTTCCTTGGGTCCTGCTCTGTAAGATGGGATAATCTGCTCGTATGATTAAAAAAAATCCTACTAACCTCTTAGTAGGTTTGAAATATTTTTCTTTTGGGGAGTAGAGAAGATTTCAATCCCCTTTATGCTTTAATTTCCTGAGAGTATTACAAGCTACGTTAAATTACATTTACATTTTGGGGGTTTTAAGGGTCTTAAAGTCATATCAAGCTTCTATTAACATGTGACAGAAAAGGCAAAAGTCCAGGAACCTGTAAAACTCCTTGGCCCTTCCACTTACGCCCTGTGACTGTAGGCAAGTTGCTCACCTTCTAGGAGCCTCACTGTTACCACTTGTAAAATAGGAGTAAAATATCAGCCGGGACTGTTGTACAGAGTTGCTATGACATTCAAAGGAGGTAAAAACTGCAGAGCTTTTAAATTATAAAGTGCGTGACATGTGTAAGATGGTTTTATTATGTCGTTGAAATATGCAGCCAGGTGAACTCTACGACAAAATATCAATATTAAATTTTTACGTTATTTTTCATTAATATTGTACTACCATATTGGTAGTCTTAAGAGAGAGAGAGAGGACAGTATGGTCAAAAGCTTTAGCTGTGAAACAAAGCAGGGAGTCAAATATGAAAAGATGTTTTGAAAGGTTAATGCTCAGTGATTTTTGCATCTTTTTCTGAAAGCTTAGGGGGCTGGCTCACTCAATGCTTCCTTTCTTAGTGGTATGACCTTTGAGAACAGGAAATAGATGAACTCAGCTTATAATTTTAAGGGCCTTAATTTTAGGGTCAAAGAAATGGTCCCACAGGCTCTAGTCTGGTCATTTAAGAAATCTGATGCTCCATGGTGTGTGTGTGTGTGTGTGTGTGTGCATGTGTGTGTGTGGTCACAGCAAACTTAGCTGTAGTTCACTGATTCTTACAGTTTAACGTCAGGTTCTTTTGTTAAATTCAAGTATAATTAGATTTCTTATATGTATCTAAAAATAAGATCTATTATAGAACGCCATTTCCCCAAAAAGTTGCCTCAACCTTTCCCCTTCTACCTGTATATTTACACAGAAAGATGTCTAGGATTTGTCCACCTAATGATAATGATGATTATTTTGGTGTGGTATGATTTGGGGGTAAATTTTCCTGTTCGTCTTTACATTTTCCTACACTATTTGAGGGTTCCCCCCCAACTTTTTATTTTAAAATAATTATAAACTCAAAGTTGGGAAAATAGTACAGAGAGTCCCATGTAGCTTCTCCCTCTGGTGACAACTTATGTAACTGTAGCACACTGGCAAAACCAGGACATTGACATTGATACAAAACAAACCACAGACTTGGTTTACATTTCACCAGTTTTTACATGTACTGATTTGTGGTGACACTCCATCTTAACCCTCCATATTCCTCAGTGAGCACTGCTCTTTAGGGGTGGGGTGGGGGACAGAGCACATTGCACTTTATAGGGATAAACACATACCTATTTAGAAAAGTCACATTGTCTGTCACTCAAATGGTAACAAATTGGCAGGAAGTTACTTCATCCTTCCAAAATTACTGGTAATGATGTGTTTGAGCTGGCTTGTACCAGCCTTGACAGCCAACTGTTAAATATTCAGGAATTTTGTCACTGGTAGCCTGAAATCAGCCATGGTGGAAGTCTTTACCTCAGAGAAATCTGCAGAGTATAAAGCAAGGCTCCCTCTCTCTTGCTAGAGCCTGTCTACCAGCACACCACTGTGGTGTTGAGAGTTTGTCTCAGTTAATCCTAGTTCCCCACATACCTCCCCTCATCTAGGTCTCTCAGGAAAACCTTATTCCCCAGTAGGACATTCCCTTATCATTCATGATGCTTTTTTCCTTAGGGCTGTAAAATAGGGCAGCTAAGATAGTCTAATGCAAAAGAATTTTCTGTTAATAGATTCTAATACCTTAATGTATGGCCTTTCTGGGTAACTCACTTCCATTTTGCCCAGGGGCTTTCTGGAATATATATTGATTTTTAACCCCAAGAGAACGTTTGAAGGCATGAGAGAGAGAGGCAGGGGAAGGAGTGTTTGGGAGGTGGAAGGAACAATGGGGCCCTCCAGTCCCTCTCCATTCCCCCCAGCAGGGAGCTTTTGACTCCACCCACACTCAGGGTTGGTCAGCACTGTCTTTACTCCTCCGATCCCATCCTTTTCTCTGTAGAGCTGCAGGGAGTCACTGGTCCCTTGTCTTGAGGCAGATGGAACAGAAACTTACTTTAAACTTGAAAAGGAGTCAAAAGACAAAAGGATTCTTTGCAGAGGTAACAGCGTGTGAAATGAGCTGACAACAGTGACTCCATTTTGCACCCTGGACTCCATCTTGTTAAAAATAGGAAGCTGTGCTGACCTTGCTGATGTGCCAATAAGGGTTATTTGCTGAGAAAGGACTTTCAGAAGGACTGTGCAAAAATATACCTTTTCTGGCAGCAACAGGGTATCCTTGAGTCAGCCAATGAACCATAACGTAAATTGACCCTCCCAAACAAACTGAAGTGATTGTTCTGGGCTCTCCTTGTTCTAATAAAAACTTCTGACTTTTTGCTCCTCAGGGGGACACTTTTCTGGCTGCTGCTGGAAACTGTGTTCTCCAAATTGTAATTCTAAGACCCCAAATAAACACTCTCCTTTGGTTTTGCTGTTCCCTCCTTTTTCTAAGTTGACATGTGTGGATTCACAAGCTTTTATACAGTGAAGGGTCATATCCTTTCATCTTGAGTTAACAAGTTAGCGAGGTTTCCTCTTAACCCTTAGTACATTAATTGTAGACAGAAAAGAGTAAAAACAAAAATGAAACTTTTCTAGTCTGTATTCTCCCCTTGTCTAAATATGTTGCCCATTGAACAGACATGTGTGGACTGACTGCTGTGTGGATCAAGGCACTAGGGAAGGTGGGGGGGTGGTATTAAATGTTCTGTCCCCTCAAAGACCCACTAACCGTTTGCAGATGAAAGCACATTGGCTGCATAGTACAATGGAGTGACCAAAAGCTTTGGAGTTAGATATGAGTTCAAATTCTGGCTTGGCCACTTACTAGCTGAATAAATTTGGCAAGTTACCAAACTTTTTTTTTTTTTTTTTTTTTTGGTGAGGAAGATTGGCCCTGCGCTAACATCCGTGCCAATCTTCCTCCACTCTGTATATGGGACGTCACCACAGCATGGCTTGATGAGTGGTGTGTAGGTCCACGCCTGGGATCTGAACCTGTGAACCCCAGCCACTGAAGCAAACAGCATGAACTTAACCACTACGTCACCGGGCCAGCTTCAAGTTACCAAACTTTTATGTGTTGGTTTCCTTATTAGTAAATTCAAAGTTGTTAAGAGCATGAATGATAATAATTGAGCCCCATCCTGTATCATGCATTTTGTGTATATTTTTACGTTTCATTTTATTTCATTTTAATTTAATCCTTACCATAATCCTGCCAGGCAGGTTGTATTATTTCCATTTTATGGATGAGAAAATTGAGCCTCAGAGACATTCATTAACTTGATTAAGGTCAGAGAGCTAATGTGGAACAGAGCTGGGATTCAAAAAGTCAGATAGAGACCAGATAGTATGTGAAAAAATGCATAAAGATTTCTGACACATAATAGGGGCTCAGCCATTGTTTTATTGTTATTCATTTACTATATAATTAGTTGTATTGATAATTACATTAATATAATTGTATATTATAATAATAGGATTATATAATGTATTATACAGTGGATTAATTACACGAATTATATTTTTCTTAGTGGAAAGTTCACTAAACTTGGAGTCAGATCATTTAACCCATGTCTTGGCTCTGCTATTTATTAGTTCTGCCAATAGGCAAGTCACTTACACGTGTAATTCTCATTCACACACGGGCAAGCATGCCACATAGTAGCTGTTCAATAAATATTTGTTGGAAAATGAAGGAATAAAAAAAGGAATGAATAGGGCTGGCCTGGTGGCACAGCGGTTAAGTGCATGCACTCTGCTGCTGAGACCCAGGGTTCACTGGTTCAGATCCCAGGCGCGCAAACCAACACAACGCTTGGCAAGCCATGCTGTGGTGGCGTCCCATGTAAAGTGGAGGAAGATGGGTACGGATGTTAGCCCAGTCTTCCTCAGCAAAAAAGAGGAGGATCGGCAATGGATGGTAGCTCAGGGCTGATCTCCCTCACACACACAAAAAAATGAACGAATAAAAAAGTGAATGACTAAACGGTTAAGGTCTCTTCTGAGTCTTAAAATACGACTCCCGTTATGATGTACACAAATGAAAAATTCAATAATTAATGCTCAAGTAAAAGTTAATTGTCAGTGATGTCTGAGTCAGAGGAACCCCAGACCACAACGGTTCACTATAGCGACGCCCTGTGGTGCCAAGGGGGTATTGCAAGGGTTATTACACAGGCTTCCCAGCAGTGCCTGATGTTGGCATTTTGCCCAGGATTTTGCCCTGCCACTTGTTTGCTCCTCCTCTACCGCCTGTTCACCCTAGCCTGAGCAGGAAGACTTTTGCGTGGTCCTCTACATAAATCACTGCTTATTTCCTTAACATTGCAATGCTCTGGCTGAATACTTTTGGCTTGGCTTTGTCAGAAAGTGCCAGGAGTCAGGAAGGATTGTGAAGGCAGGGATGTCTGGGGTAAGAAGCCTATTACTGTTCTTTCATACTTTACGCTCTTATATTAACCTCTTGTGCTATATCCTTTTATACTAATAAATGAACCGAAAACATAACACGTAATAAAAATATGATTTATGGAGCCTGCTATTGACTGAGCCCTTATATACCAGCCATACATTAAAGCTTTTTGTACTCAACCTGCTACATATCTTATTTAATTCTCACAACAGCCCAACAAGCGAAATGATCTTATTATCCCTTTTACCAAAGAGGAAAAGGGAGGCTTCAGATGGTTCAGTTATTTGCTCAATGACACATACCTAGTGGCAGAAATTCGACTGGGACCCAGTCTGTCTGTCTTTTATACACATATTACCTCTTATAACAGAGTAGAAAGAAAAATAGGCCAGAAAGGGAAAGGCCAGTGTAATTGGGTCTCTGCTTTACTTCTATCAATAATCAAAATAAAATTGAAGCACCTGGCTTATTTAAGTTGTGCTTTCCCATAGCAGCCTCTATATAATTGGGGAGATGCCAGCACTAAGAAGCAGGGATCCTTTGCCAATTACAGAGTGACTTATAAAATGCCATTTCTGGTGAAGAGTGGCAGACTAATGGGATAAATGCTTATCTAGCCAATGTTTGTACAAATAAGAAATTATTGCTGTTTTGCATTCTTGTGCTTCTTGGGAGGTAAATGTTTTTTAAAGACAAATCCCTATTTTTTCTTTAAAAATTCCTTTCAGAAAAATAACACGTTTTGGCAAAGATATTTAAAACATAACACTGTTGTTTAAAAAAATTCAAGTGCATTCACACAGTCAGAGAAACTCTAGACACAATAACATACCTTCCCTTGTCTGTTCTCCGGGGAGGACTTGCTTCAGAGGTGGAGAATTAGGGAGTGAATCTGATGAACTACCTTGACCCCTTTTGTCTGGCGTCTGAGCGAGTCTGGAATATTTGGAGACTGTATAATTGGTTGCTAAGTTTCCCTGAGCCTTTGTGTTTGCAAATGAATTTGCTGCCTGGGTGAAGATAACAACCCAGCCTCCCCGAAATAAGGAAAGGCTGCAAAACCCGAGACGGTGAAAAACGATGCCAGAAGAGGGGACGAGGCAGTGCCTGTATTTAGATTATTGCTTTCATAGGGATGTGTGGAAGAGAGACACAAAACCGTGGGACACAAAATACCCCATCAAAGCAGCTTCAGATCTTCCTTGAGTGGACGCTTTTTCCGGGACTTCTGGGCAAATGCTCCCCTCCTGTGGTCAGATGGTAGAATATACAGGGGAAAAGAGGTGAAGCGAGTAGGGAATGTGGTTTTCTTTTTGCATATGTTTTCTGAAGAACTTTTGGTTTATGGAACAAAACTCTCCTTCAAAAATAAAATAAAATAAAAGAACAAAAGGAAGAAAAGAAGGAAATAACAAAAGAAACAAAAACAACAACAAAATAACTTGCCAAAAAATGGCCCCGTTCACCTATTTCCACCTTCATGGAGTCTTTGTCATCCAAATGAAGTGACTCCTCCCTCCACAGTACTATACATAAACAACAGAATTAGAATAATTCGGTGAGACTCTGCTAGGTACTAGGAACTGTGTTAGATGCTGAAGACTGAAAGCTGAAAAAGGCATATTCTTTGCCCTCAAATAACTCAGATTTAATTGGAGGTATAAGTAGGGGTGAACAGAGCAAGTAATTTTAATATACATGGTAAATGACAAGGTAGGTACACGCAGAATGCTTCATGAGAACAAGGGATATTTTGTCCAGCTCTTGAAGAAGATAATGGCTAAGGCGAGTCTTCAAGTGTGAGTAAGATGTATCCAGGACATAAGTGGCCATGCTAAGGAGAGAATTTGAGCCTTATTTTCTATAGCTGGGTTGGATAAAATAGTGGCCTTATGTTGGCTTCAGTGTCTGACCCTAGTCCCAAATCCTAGGTTTTGTTATGTGTTTAGTTCCATAAGCATTTGAGAGTTAACCCCAGGTAGGCATGGGAAACCAAAAAGATGAGAACAACCTGGTATGATTTGCACATTAAATCAAGCTGGAAACAATAAGCAGGGTATATGTAAAGAGAGCACAACTAGAAGCAGTTAATTTAACTAGGAAACTGCTGCAAGAGTTCAGGCGAAAAGCTCTTAGTAGAAGTGATGGGGAATAGGAGACAGGTTGGAGAACTAAAATCAATAGACCTTGTGAAGGATTGGATGTGGAGGGTGAGGGAAAGTCGGGAGAGAGGTAAGCCCATGAATCCATCCTAATTCCATCTAGCATCTCTCACCGAGTTGGGGGAACATAGGAGAAGGAGAAGGTCTAGAATGAAAGATTACCTCAGGGTACTTAGTGGCCTATGGTATCCTCATGGCTTTTAACCATCCTGTATTGATGTCTATTTCATTGTTTCTGGGCCTTATTTGTCTTGTTTTACTATAAGTTCATTGAGAGCAAAGAACACATCTTGTCTCCATATCCTTTAGAATATCTTTTAAAAAAGCACTCATCAAATTGTTAAAAATACCATTCTCATAGAAATAAATGAACGGGGGCCGGCCCCGTGGCTTAGCGGTTAAGTGCGCACGATCTGCCACTGGCGGCCCAGGTTTGGGTCCCGGGCGTGCACCGACGCACCGCTTGTCCGGCCATGCTGAGGCCGCGTCCCACATACAGCAACTAGAAGGATGTGCAACTATGACATACAACTATCTACTGGGGCTTTGGGGGGAAAAAGGGAAAAAAAGGAGGAGGATTGGCAATAGATATTAGCTCAGGGCTGGTCTTCCTCAGCAAAAAAATAAAGTAAAATAAATAAATAAATGAATGTATCAGTTTTATGCACTCTAATGAAAGGAACCGGCAGAATGAATTGATTCAAGAAGCATTTGAAGACTAGGGAATGGTGTGCTGAAATGAAGGCGATGTTAGAAACCAAAGTGGTAAATTTGTGTATAGGACAAAACCTAATCTTCGGGTTTTTCGTTTTCTTTCAAGCAGAAAAAATATGTCATACCTTATCAATTT